TGTCCCAGTGTAGGGGAGCCCTGTTCTGTCCCAGTGTAGGGGAGCCCGCCTGCTCCTTCTGCTCTCTTGCATCGTCCTTTCCTTCCTCTCCCCTCTGCATTCTGACTAGTGCTCTCCTAGTATTTTCAGTTGCCTTATAATTTCTAAGTTATTCCACTCTGCATTCTCTTTTTCTTTTAGTGATTATTTATTTATTTACATATCAAATGTTGTCCCCCTTCTCTTTCTTCCCTCTGCAACTGCCCATCTCATCCTCCTTCCCCTTTGTCTCTAAGAGGGTGCTCCCCTACCCATCCACCCACTCTGCCTCACCCCTCTAACATCCCTCTTCCCTAGGGCAACAGGCCTCCACAGGACCAAGTGCCCCGCTCCTATTCATGCCAGATGAGGCAATCCTCTGCTACATATGTAGCTGGAGCCATGGACCCACCCGTGCATTCTCTTTGTGGATCAGTCCCTGGGAGCTCTCGGGATCTGGTTAGTTGATATTGTTCTTCCTATGGGGTTGCAATCCCCTTCAACTCCTTCATTCCTTCCCCATCTCTTCCATTGGGCTCCCAAGGCTCAGTCCAATGGTTGGCTGTGAGCATCTTCCTCTGTATTTGTCAGGCTCTGGCAAAGCCTCTCAGAGGACAGCCTTACTAGGCTCCTGTCTGCAAGTACTTCTTGGCATCAGCAATAGTGTCTGGGTTTGGTGTCTGCAGATGGGGTGGATCCCAAGGTGAGGTGATCTCTGGATAGCCTTTCCTTCAGTCTCTGCTCCATTTTTTGTCCCTGCATTTCTTTTAGACAGGAACAGTTCTGGGTTAAAGATTTTGAGATGGGCGGGTGGCCCTTTCCTGCAGTCTCCTTCTGATCGTGCTCACTCCTCCTGCTCTGAGGTCACAATGCTCTTGCTCCTAAATGCCTTTACTTCTGAGTTCTTCTTGAGTTCAGTTCTGTCTAACAAGTTCTCTTTTCCTTTTTGCCCTCAGCGGCACTTTAGATATCTTTCAGAACACATGATCTCATGGTAAAAAAGATCACCACAAATTTACACATAAATTCAAATCATAAATCAAATAAGTTTATGACAGAGAGTGTTTACATGCATATTTAGTAGGAGAAATTATCTGGCTAAACATTCATCATCTGTCACCAGCTCTACAGGTTCATGGAGAGTTAAAACCATAACTTTTTAACTAAGTTATTAGTGAAGTTTTGTATAGATAAGCCCAGTCAATATTTTATCTTCTATCCTTGTACCTGTAGTAAATTGTTAGTCCCCCCTCCTTTCCCCAAAGAATAAATAAAAAATTTTTATTTTTGAAACGTTATTTTCAAAGTGAACCAAGGTAGCTAGGTGGCCTAAAAAGAATATCCATAAAATATATGGCAACCATGGTCTTTAAACCCACTGTGAAAAGGCTGGTCAATTCAAAGTTAAATAATGTAGAAAACATGTTTCAGTAGCATCAATTATAATATAAAGTTAAGACTAAAGCACCAAGGAGATGAAGACAGTATTCTTTTGCTGAAGGAAGTGCAATCTGAGCTGGAGGGCTGTGTCATGGTAGAGCCTAACATAATATTATAGAGAACTGTCTACTAACACTTCTCACTCTACAGCTTATAGAAGCTAAGGAAGATTAGAAATAGACCTGGATGAAAAATAGCCCACACACTTGCTCAGAATATTTATTAGATACTGCCCTATGTGCTTGCAGGAAAAAAAAGATTCTGGCTATACCCCTTTCTCGAGCAACTTCCTGAACCAAGGATTCTAGGGACTCTAATTTAATCTTAAATAAGGCAAACCATATCTGGGTAGAATGGTACTCATGTACCAGATTTGACACTACAAGTATATGCTGGCCAGGGAGGAAGGGAAGGGTCTAGTGAGAATGGTCCAGGTACTAGATGAAAGAAAACAAGACTGGCCTTCATCCACAACAGCACTGGTTAAAAAGGATAAAATAAATAAGAATCTAAAAAGAGAGGAGGTAAGGATAGTCATGGAGCAAAGAAGGTCAAGAACTGGTTCCCCTAAATTACAGAGATGTAGAAAGAACCAGAGTAGCAACTTGAGTTTTCAGGGAAAAAGGGGAATTAGAGTGTAGCACCTATGGACAGGAAAAGCCCAAGGCTTTGTTTTCAACCCGGCTAATCCTTCAGAGAATTCCAAAGAAAGGCAAGGTGATATGGTGACAAGCCTCCAGCCCCTGCCCAGGCTACATTTCTTCTCATTCGCAGAGGCCCTGCCCAACAGAAGCACAGAGTCATAGGACTTAGCTCCTGCTCCCCAGACACAAGGGAGGGAGATATGTTGGGTAACGTGCAGGTCCCACGTCTGCTGTAAGAACCATCATGGATATACTGCTCTGGGGTCAAGGGAGCACAGTCTGAGATCCGGGGGACAGCTGGAGCTAGCTCGGGGGTCCCCAGGCCTGCAGGGTGGCTAGAGACCATCTGGTTCTCAAGCCCTTGGGCACCCAGGCACCACTGGAAGCTGTGGAAGAGCTGAGGATGAAGTGGGAGCCCCTGGGCTGGACTGGCCCGTGGCCGAGGGGAGAAAGGGGGATAAGCCCTGGCTGCGCCCCACAGGGAGAGTCCTTGGCTTGGCTGCAGGAAGCTTGCTTGGGTTGGTGGTTGCAGTGGCTGTGGGAACACAGGGGTCTTCTGCGGCTCCGAAGGCAAAGGCCTTCTCTATGGCTCCCCACAGAGGATCCCGATAAGTAGAGACAGTCTGTGGCTTTACCACGCTTATTGTCATGGCAGAAAGTAGATGAGAAAACCATACCCCAGCTTCTCAGGGCAGGCCTGAGGTTGAAGACCTTTTGCAGGGAGGAGTATCTGGGAAGGAAGCTGAATTGACTAAGCCCTTCTGGCCTTTAGGTACCTCATTAATATGGAGATCTGTCTTGAATCTGCGTGGCCACAGGTCATGTCCTCTACCTGTGGAGGCATTACGGGGCATTGCCCTACATGACTGAAGGACACAAATCTATGGAGGGCTGGGGCCTCGCGTTAGGAGCCTGGAGGCTGGGGGTGTGGCGAAATGCCTACCGTCTCTTAGGGTCACCTGGGATCCCTTAGGATCACAGAGGTTTCCAGCCTGTGCTCTACCAGAAACCAGACTGCCTTTCAAGGTCCACAGAGATACAAGGCACAAAGTCACTGGGAATTGGGGAACATGAGTACTGCCATATGTAACATTTTTTGGGGGAGTGGGAAGAAGTGAAATGCCCCAAAAGGGATACCTTCCTTCACCTGGCAAACAATTGGACTGTTTTTGTTTTGTTTTGGTTTTTTTTTTAAAAGACTTATTTATTTATTATATATGAACACACTGTAGCTGTCTTCAGACACACCAGAAGAGGGCATCAGATCTCATTACAGATGGTTGTGAGCCACCATGTGGTTGCTAGGATTTGAACTCAGGACCTCTGGAAGTGCAGTCAGTGCTCTTAACCACTGAACCATCTCTCCAGCCCGAATTGGCCTGTTTTTAACAGCATGAAGCATGATGGAGTAAGATTCATAGAAAAAGCCTTCAGAACAGATGCTCAGCTGATATGGCACAGTCTTGAATGGGATGTAGAGAGTGTGAGAACATCATGGGAGTGTCCAGCTCTACACACATCATTTTGGTGACAGTAATTTCTCTGACTACTGTATTGCAGCTGTTGAATGTGGAAAGATAGATGTGTTGAAGCTGTTGCTTCAACATGGAGCAAATGTCAACGGATCCCATTCTATGTGTGGATGGAATTCCTTACACCAGGCTTCTTTCCAGGTAGTCTCTGAACTTACTATTTCATTTTCATGTCAATTGTATTTCTTACCCTTTTCTATACAGTTTTTTGCTTTCTAGTATAGTATAGAAAAGGCAGGCTAAATGCTAACGATCATTCTAAATAAGCCAGCTGTTACAGTGGCTGGGGCAGCTTTGGATTATAGGGTTTATCTAAGTAACTATCATAATATGTGGAGAATGGTATGTTTTATTGTAACTATGTATGATTAGAAAACATGATAGTTCCCTGTTGCTTGAGTTAGCAAACTTTGTGGGACTAATGACTGTAATTGAAAGAGGCCAGTATTTAATGTGTTTACATTTAATAGACTGTGTAGAAGTGTAGAGTAATCTGATGTTGTATCTTTTTCATCCAATATAACAAGATATTGCATTTGTTTTGAAGTTTTTCTTTACTGAGAAAATAAGAAAAGTAAAACACAATGAGAAAGAGTTTTTAACTAACTTAAAAATATGTGTCTGTGCTTTAGGGAAATGCTGAGACTATAAAACTGCTTCTTGAACAAGGAGCAGACAGAGAATGCCAAGATGACTTTGGAATCACACCTCTGTTTGTGGCTGCTCAGTATGGGAAGCTAGAGAGCTTGCGCATTCTTATTTCATCTGGTAAGAAGCATAGCCTTTGTGCCCAGAAGATCATGGGTTTTAACTGTGTTCTTAGAGAAGAATGATTCTTGAATCAGGTGATGAAATTTATGTAAGTAGCAACTAAAAGTGCACATAGTTGACGTCAGTCCTAGTTATTACTACATTATGTTACCAGGTAAAGGTTTCTCTGTGACTACAATTACAGATGTAGCATTTCCAAAAAAAATTGGGTGACTATGTCATTCTTTTTATTGTCTGACCTGAAGAGTTCACCAAAGAAGGGTTTTTAAAGTCTTAGGGAGTGTGCTGACAGAGCTAGGAAACCACAGAGAGTTAGAGGAAAACACATACCAACAGATTTGCTGAGTTACATAGTGAATTCCAGGACAGCCAGGACTTCATAGAGAGACCCTGTCTCAAACAAACAAACATTCTAAAACAAAAAACAAAAACAAAAAAATTCACAAAACCAACCAACCAACCAAACAACAACCAAAACAAAACAAAACCAAAACCCCCAAAATCTCTACATATTTAAGTCAAGATAGAAAGTGAAAAAAATAAACCTTCATGATGTTCAAGGTGAAGGTATCTGAGAAATTATGAGCCTGTACTTTAAAGATGAGGACTCCTGAATAACTTCCTAAAGTTATCCTGTTTACATTCAGACACCCAGACTCTGGGTGTTAAGTCCTGGCACAATCAGTATTTCTTTTTTAAATTTTTTTCTTCTCTAAACTTTTTAAATATCATTATTTAGAAGGTATGAAGGTCTGTTTCTAATGTAATCATGTAAACTACTTTACCTTCAGTTTCTTACTTTTTAAATGTTTCAGTTGTAGTCTTACAGAAACTGGTTCCTTATTATTTCTGATACTTTGAAGTTGTCAGTCAAACTAGAAGTTTGGCTTTTTTAAAAAAAAAGCAGGTCCCACTGTTAACTTCAGCTTTTCTCATTGATTATATTTTTCTCTCTGAAGCTGACAGGAAGAAGAGGCACTCGAGTCAAGAAGAGTCTAGTTGCCTAGCATATTTGCAATTCAGGAAGTTTCCACACAGTCTTTCATTCACCCTGTGTCGCTTGTTCGAGGTGTTCTGAATAAAAGATAGTCAATCTTCCCCATTTTTGATGGTGTTTTTTCTAATGAAATATATAATATATTTGAGAAATTTAAAAATTGGCACAATCATGTGATAGTATGAGTCCTGACATATTTCATATTTAATATGTTATTTGCTAGTGAGGTGATTTGGGGAAATAGGCTTTTTTTTTTAACAATTTCAGAAGTGTCTCAACAATTAAGGCCATTTTCAGCTCTTTTAAATATTTTTGTTTGTTTTTGTTTGTAGAAATAGGATCTCAGTATGTAGTTTTGGCTGTCCTGGAACTCATTATGTTGACCAGACTGACCTCACAGAGAACTTTTACTCTGTCTCAAACACCACCATGCCTGGCTGCCTTTTCAAATTATATATAGTATAAGCCGGGCAGTGGTGGCACACGCCTTTAATCCCAGCACTTGGGAGGCAGAGGCAGGAGGATTTCTGAGTTGGAGGCTAGCCTGGTCTACATACATACAGAGTGAGTTCCAGGACAGCCAGGGCTACACAGAGAAACCCTGTCTCGAAAAACCAAAAAACAAACAAACAAACAAAAAACCAAATTGTATATAGTATAAAGGTGAATTCTAAAATATCGTTTATGTTCTTACTAATGCAGAAAAACTATGTAAACAATTCTCAACAGGTTAGTAAAATAAGGTAAAAACAGGTTAGTAAAAACAGGTTAGTAATATTTCTCACTAGCATCTGGTAAGGATTTAAGCTGCTGTACTATGAAAACCTTTTATGGCAGCTTGAAATTTATGTTTTCAGCTTTCTTTCTTCTTCTTTTTAAAAACATCTATGTGTTGCCGGCCAGCTGCCACAGTCAACCGGGTTCACCTGAAAGAGAGGCTGGGAATGGAAGAAGGGACAGGAGGGCGGGAAGAGATGAAGCAGGGCAAAGGTTTCTGATCGAGGCTCAATGCTTTAATGTTCATCTTTCAATTTAAAGGGAAAGCCCCACCTCCACCATCGAACCCCTTCTTGCTTCAGCCCAGCGTGGGTGAGGGGAATCCATCCTTAATCTCAGGCCGGAGGTGTCTCAAGGCAAGGCTCAGCTCCTGTAGCAGCAGGTCCTGGGTCTGCCAAGGTGGTTAACACCTGAGTCCTATTGTTTTGGTCTGCTGTGGTAAACAAAGTCTCTCAGGCCTGCTCAAGGCTGGGGGAAGGGCACGTCTATGTCCATTATTGGTTAAGTATTTTGTTTTGTGTTAGGTGCAAATGTCAATTGCCAAGCCTTGGATAAAGCTACACCTTTGTTTATTGCTGCACAAGAGGGTCATACAAAATGTGTGGAACTTTTGCTGTCCAGTGGGGCGGATCCTGATCTTTATTGTAATGAAGACAATTGGCAATTACCTATTCATGCTGCTGCACAAATGGGCCATACAAAGTAAGTGCTCAAAACGGAATAAAATTGGTCTCAGAATTAAAAGCTGATAAAGAGTAGATATGGCCGGGCGGTGGTGGTGCACGCCTTTAATCCCGGCACTTGGGAGGCAGAGGCAGGCGGATTTCTGAGTTTGAGAGTTCGAGGCTAGCCTGGTCTACAGAGTGAGTTCCAGGACAGCCAGGGCTGCACAGAGAAACCCTGTCTCGAGGGGGAAAAAAAAAAAAGAGTAGATATGAGTCAGACCCTTTACCCCCAGGTAAAATGCTTGGTCATTCCTTTCTGAAACCAGTTTTTGGGATGCTTAAATTTACTCCTCGTCTTCCCCATACTTTTTCTTTTCTCTCTTTTTCTGTTTTTGCTCTGGTTAGCTCCTCTACCTCTTTCATTTTCCCACTCTGAGGGAGAGTGACTGTATGTAAATGGTGTAGATATTGGAGCAAAGGAATTTCCTTAGCTGATGTCCGTTCTTTCCCTTTCTTGCTAGTTTTATTTCCGACACCTTTAACTAGCAATCTGATGGTCTTACTAATTTGCACTATCTCCCTGTTTGCAGAAAGAGTGTGTGATCCTTTTCGAATGGAGTCTTTCTTTGTGTGGGTCGCGTCCTCTACCCCATCTTAAGCCCTTTGACTAGACTTTTACCTTACCTCATGTCTAGTCGAGTATCTTCCCTGTCTCTGTTGCTCTTTCTTTGCTAGAAGTCCCTAGGAAATTATTAGTGTGTTTTGGAAAAAGTATTGGTGAGTAGGGAAATTTTAGAGTTAGTGACCTAGTTATGTTAATAAGAATAAGGCTTCCTCTCATAAATCAGTATGGACAGATTTAAAAATCATGTTTACAGTCTTTAGGGTCATAGTTCCACAATAGTGCTTCTAATACATACCATTAATGTTTAATTAAAAATAATAAAATGATCATTATGTTTAGACAGTAGGAAAACAAAGTCCACAAACTGACTATTTTGTCACCAGGTAGCAAAGGTCAAAAGTCTTTGAAAGCATGTTTGCCTTGTGACAGTATTTTCTAGCCCTTCTTTAAAACTCAGATATGTTCATTTAAAAGGTGCCAAACAAATTCTAGTTTTAATAAAATACTTGTTTCAGTATTTGGTAGTTCTTCTAAATGCTTTCTAAAATTTATTATCCTTTGAGACTTTCATCCATGTTTTGAACACTTTAGCCCTTCTCTAGCCTTTTCCTGGTTCATACCCCCTTATCACTCAATTTGTGTCCTTTACAAAAAACTTTAAACCCATTTCTTCTAATTTTTGATAAACTTATTTAGCAAAAAAAAAAAAATCACTAAACAGTTGTACTTAGTTTTAAATTGATAACCAAAGCTCTCATAGGAGTGTGTGCTTAATTGTGCTCAGCTTTGAGAAGTCCACTCCACTGGTTTCATACGTAGCCTACTTGAAAGGTAGTCCATCTGTGATCTCAGTTCTTCAGTGTTACTTTAGGTCTGTTTTATGGAAGGAAAGGCAGCCAAGAGAAACAGTCCTAGAAAGGAGGGCAATTTCCCAGCTGCTTAGTCCGTAGACTTCCGTCTTCAGAGCTGAGCAGTCTTCTCTGCAGCTGATTTCTGAGGTGAGGTTACAGACAATCTAAGAACTACATTTTAGCCATCTTTTTTCGAGCATTCTCTGTCTAGCAATTGCTTCTTTATAAATGTACCTCAGATATTAGTGCTTATATTTTTTCTGAGATTGCAATATTTTACTGTAAGTTATAGTTCCTGTGATAAAAATTATAATTTCTCATTCATGTCATTTGCCATATTTAAAAATTCTTATTAATGGGAAACCAAACTTGATTAATATTTAAGAAGGAAATATTTCATTTTATTTTCTGTTATTATTTGTTTGTATGTGAAACAGAGCCTTGCTGAGTAGCCCTGGCTCCTAGAATTTATTATTCAACTGTGGTAGGCCTTGAAGTCCTGCTTCAATCTCTGACTGCTAACTTACAGGGTTGTGTCACCACATCTGTCTGCCCATTATACAGTCCCCAGTGCTGGGAATTGAACCCAGACCTGCCAGCATAATAGACAGAGACTCTACTTCTGGGCAATATCCCTAGCCCCTCATTTTCTTAACTAGTTTATATTTAGTGTACTAAAAATTTTAAATAATTTATTAGGTCCTGAAATACCAAACATAAAATTGGCATAGGTCATGATGGTGGTAAGACAAATAACAGTTAATGAGGAAATATTTACCATATTACTCAATTCTTTTTTAGGCCTATTTAAGTTTTGCATTAAGCAATAGTCCAGGTAACATTTCATAGTAGCTATGAAGCATATAGATATTTATTGGAATTTGAAAGTGTAAGAAAGACAGAAAGATGTCTTTAAATCATCCAGTCAGTGGGTGACTCTTAAAATATGTATGGGAAAGATGTTGCCTACTCTTATGCACCTGAAAATATTAAATATTCTTCCATTTGTGTATTTGAAGGACCTTGGACTTGTTAATACCAGTTACTAACCGGGCTTGTGACACTGGACCAGACAAAGTGAGCCCTGTTTACTCTGCAGTGTTTGGTGGCCGGGAAGAGTGCTTGGAAATGTTACTGCAGAATGGCTATAGCCCAGATGCACAGATGTGCCTGGTGTTTGGATTCAGTTCCCCTCTGTGCATGGCTTTCCAAAAAGAGTATGTACATTTGTTACATTTTACTTGTTTTTAATTCCCAAGCAACTTTTGTTCATAGTGGAAACTTGATATCTCTGTTAGTACTAAGTTGATAACTGGGAAGAAGTTGGCTACAATATCTGTTGTTTAGCTTAGTGAGGTGGATAATGCCAAATGGTTTGCCTTTCCCCTTTGGACCTGGATTACACTTTTAGTTTAACAGTTTTAGGAAATACTTTAAATGTGTTAGTGTAAATGCAAGCCTACTCTGATGTCTTTAAAACGATTCAAGAATCAGAAAGGAAACTTCATCAAGTAAGGTACTGACTGCTTCAGGTTATTTAACTTTAAATACCCCCCCCCGCCTTTTTAAGTTTACAAGCCTTAGAATACTGTGGTTTTCAGATACTGTTATGTTACATTTAATATTACGTTAGCATTTTCATAATAATTATTTTCATAATAATTATATTTTAACAGTCAAGTATTAATTTTCATACTCTGCTCTAGTTCTTTGAAGTAAAATAATGAAGAGTTAGTGCTATATTAGTATTTGGCCAGTAATTTGACTTTGGAGCTCCTAAGGCTTTAAAATAGACATCATTAGCTAGATGTGGTAGCTCATACCTTTAATCCTTGTAGGCAGAAGAAGTCAAGCTTAGGTACATGGTGAGGTCCAGGACAGCCAGAGCCATGTAGAAAGACCTTGTTTTTAAAAAAATCAAAACAAGAACAACAACAAAAAGGCATTGAGAATATGTGGATGGGGAAATAACTCAGTCAATAAAAAAGACTTGAGTTTGTTCATTCCACAGAATCTACATTAAATACTGACTGGGTGTAATAGTGTGTACTTTTCATCCCAGTGCTAGGGAACAGGCAGGTGACTGAAGGATCCTGAGGGAACTGGCCAGCTAGTCTAGTCTGATGTTGATTTCCAGACCAGTGAAAGACTCTTATTTCAAAGTAAATGGATGGTCTTCCTGAGAATGACACCCAGGGTTATCATGTAGCCTCCACATAGCACACATACACAGACACTCACTCACACAAATAATAAAGACTATAAGAAAAAACATATAAAGTTATGCCTGTGCTCCATTAAAAATGCTAATCAGTTGTGTAGATGGATGCTATTCTTTTAAGGTCTTACCATTTATTTGTTACTCTTAATAACACTTTAATTATGTTATGTGCATGGGTGTTTTGCCTGCATGTATGTACATGCACTGCATTTTTACAATGTCCACAGAGGCCAGAAGAGGGAACATATAGACAGTTGTTAGTTGCTATGTGTGTGCTGGGAATGGAACCTAGGTTCTCCTCCAGATTAGCAGCCAGAGCTATAAACTGATGAACCATCTCCCCAGCCTCAAGACTCTTACATTTGACTGCACCGACACTTAGAAGTGGAAGCTGTCAGTGAGGATAATCTATATCGCTTGACAATCTGTTCCTGTTTTGTTCTCTTGGCCAGAAGTTTAGCATAGCCTTCTTACTTTCTCAGTGTGTTGTTTCTTCAGAGCCATATGCTAGCAATTATGCTGCAGGACACTTGAAGTTAACAAACACTGAATCTTGTGGACTTTGGTCTTGGGCTTTTTACATTCTTTGTTTATGGCTTTCTGACAGCATATTGACAACATCATCTTTGAAAGATCGAACAATTTTCAGATGTTACTTGTTCTTTGGGCTTTGAACACTAGTTCAGGAATACTTAGATTGACATCCAGAACACATCCCCAAACAGACTGATACATTCTATCTCTAGTTCTCCTTGGTCTAATAAAGCACCCCTTATTCAACAACAGGTACATTCTGCTGTGGGGCAAGGCATCCATCTTCATGGGAAAACATTTGCTGTACCCACCACAAGCTTAAACCACAGGCCTTTTCCACTTCCCTCACCCAAAACCTTAACCTGACTCCTGAGGCCAAAGATCCTATTATTTTTAGTGATGTAGAAGTGGTTACAGATATACTACAAACTTAATTGACTTTGTTGGAATCTTATTGTAGTGAATTTTTAATCTGCTAATTGTTCATCTGATTAGCGCTCCCATTGGGCGATCGAGCTTCTAAGCCATCCACCAGAGCTGTCTGGATTCATGGATGAAAGACACATGCACGTGTACACACACACACACACACACACGTCAGCTTAATTTTTAATATGCCTTACTAGTTCAATAGCTGGGCACTTCCAAACATCCTCACAGCTAGAACACACTCCCCTCCGGTAACCCTGTGTTAACATTTTCTGTTTATTATGAGTTCCACTTTAATCACAACTTGAATAATTTCCTAGAATTTCATTCTATAAACCCTCTCATGTTATCTCCTCAGCTTCCAGGGTTCTCCTTTCATGCCTTCCTTCTTCAAGGATTACTTGTACATACCATCATAGATTGCTGCTGCCCTTCTTCTTCCTCCTTTTGTTCTCCCTCTCTCTCTCCCTTTTGAGAAATGCTCATTTTGTTCTTTGTGCTGAGCTCTTGCCCTCTCACCTTATAAGTCTAGTATGAAGTGGGTCATTCAACAGTGTTCTTGTGATTGCGCTACCTTGCAATGATTTGTTTTGTGTTTTTCTAGAATTAGGCAGCATGCTTCATTCTGTTTACAAGATTGAGACAGATAATGTTTAGTGGGCAAGGTAATTACATAGGCTTCTAGCATTAATTGAAATTGTACAGGGCAGTCTGTTTTCTCCTTTGAGTTCTAAAAAGCTAGTAAATAACATTAGTTGATTAGTGTAACGGCCGTTTCTTTTGTAATGGCGGTCAGGTTCTGCTACTTTGTAAAGGCCGGCCGGTTCTGCTGCTCCGATCCGCAGGTCAGGGTCTAGCAAGAGAGAGAGTGGGGACGGAGAAAGGGGGAAAAAGGGGCGAGAGACGCAAAAGATAGATACAAGACAGAGTCCGGTGGAGTCTCTTCAAGTCTCTTCTTTATTCTCCTCTCTTCTATATATATTCTCCTACTTTCTTCAGTCTCCTGACACCTCTCACTTTCTCACTCCTTCCACCTTCCACCTTCTACCTCCTACCTCCTACTTCCTACTTCCTACTTCCATCTACCTCCTACCTTCTACCTCCTACCTCCTCAATAGAAGGGAAATCCTGGGTATTTATACCCTTTACCACGTGACTTGCCCTCGTGGACAAGCTCAACTGAAGCCACTACGTCACATGCCTTGTAGCCATGGATACCAGGAGCACCTTGCAGCTGGGGGCACTAAACAGTGTAACAAGATGTTTATCAGAGTGCACTCAGCTATTGCAGTCTGTTGAAACAAGTCTCTTGTCAGGGTATATGGCTTGAGATGGCTGTAAAGATGATAGCCACTTTCGGCTAAGAGTCGGCTCCCAACAGATTAGTACCATAAGAGAACTCAGTTGGTTCATATGAAATATATTGACAAAACTGAAACATTGTTCCTATTCTTTAAGAATTTATTTATAGCCGGGCAATGGTGGCGCACGCCTTTAATCCCAGCACTTGGGAGGCAGAGGCAGGCGGATTTCTGAGTTCGAGGCCAGCCTGGTCTACAGAGTGAGTTCCAGGACAGCCATAACTATACAGAGAGACCCTGTCTCGAAAAAACCAAAATAATAATAATAATAATAATAATAATTTATTTATGCCGGGCAGTGGTGGCGCACGCCTTTAATCCCAGCACTTGGGAGGCAGAGGTAGGCGGATTTCTGAGTTCGAGGCCAGCCTGATCTACAGAGTGAGTTCCAGGACAGCCAGGGCTACACAGAGAAACCCTGTCTCAAAAAGCAAAAAAAAAAGGATTTATTAATTTTTTTTATTTGACATAAAAACATGTATTTACTAAGAAACATTTAGAAAGTTAACCAAACACTTGCATTATGTTTTTAGCTATAGTTAATTGAATAGTTATTTTGTAAACGTTGCATCAGAGATAGAGATGGTGAAAAAACTACCATCCCCATATGACTGATTTGTACAGCACACCATAAGAATCTGCTTCATATTAGCATGATGGTTTATAACCTCTGCGCTGTACTAAACAGCTACTAGCTGTTTAGTTTATTAGTGTTTATTAGTGGCTATTAGCAATATAACCATGGCAGGGCTACAGCTAAAGGCACATTGGTTTATGTTAACTATTCACTGTACAGTTTAAAAGCAGACCTTACATGATTTACATTGCAGTAGTTTTCCTTAAAAGGAGTTGTGTGCACGGTTAAATACTGTATAGGAAAAACTGTCAGAACCAACTTATTTATTATCATCTTGTTCTTCCTCTTCATCTCCCTTATCTTCCCCCTCTTCTCTTTCTGCGCTTTTCATTCTTTACAATTCTTTTTGTGCTGCACCGCATTCTTTGTTAGCTCCTTAGGCAGCAGTATCCTCTGCACATTTTTCCTTCAGCTCTGCAGTCCCTTTTCTCAAAGGGTGTTTGTCACCTGCAGCAGTGAGTTTCATATCCTTTCCTGTCTCCTTGCAGCATCGCCAATGAATCATGTAGGGCATTCTTTGTCATCTGTGCTACTCAGCACAGAACATTTAGGTGGCAGGATGTCAGGGGCAGCCCTGCTTACACACTGAAGGCCTAAAATCAGCCATAGGCCTGACCTACATGCCTGCTAGCACCAACTCTTGGATCTCTGTGGAAAAACACTGCAACAGATAGCTAGAAGTTATTGTAAACAAGCAGCTTTGGTGTCTTGGAGTCCCTGAACTTCCTTTTTTCTTCTCTCTGGAGGGACAGTGAATTTCCTGTTTCTCATAACAAACCTTGAACACTTGTGTTACATCTTCAAAGTTTCCTGGTTCTTCAGCAGACACAGTCTTTCATGACTCTAATACTTCTGACAAAACACTGGAGGCTGACTGAAGCATGGGAGTACTTCTATACTCCTCCTAACAAGTTTGCACAAAAAAACAGAACATTTCAGCATCTCCTTTGCCCATGCTTACTTGTTTCTTGTCATTGAGGTAGCTTTCCCTTTCCCTGACACTGTCTCTGTGGAGGTCTGTGTGTTATAATGGCG